AATTAACGTGTAACGTTCTGGTTGAGTCTTTTGCTGATGCTCAGCCCGTGGCTCGAGTGGGATAGGACGTTGTGTAGAATTGTGGCTGCTTGGGTTGATTGGTGATTGTTTAATAGCTGCTTCATCGTGATTACGATGTAAGTTTGAAATTTCTAATTAGAGATATTAAATTGGAAATTTGATTTCTCTGTTTGCACTCGCTTTATGGAGATTGTCATTATTTTCTTTTTTTTAAGATGAATTTGTTAATATTTTAATGGGTATAAAAATATGGATGTGGAGTGTCCTTAGAATAATAATATAATATAAATTTAGAGTTTCGAATATTAAATTGGAAAATTAATACCTATATTCAAATTCGTTTCATAGAGATTGTTTATTTTTATATATAAATTAGATAGACCTGTTAATTTTGGTTAGGTAATTCAGAATTTAGTGGTTAGTATATTACATTGAAAAATTGAAATAGAAAAATTAATATCCGAGTTAAAATTTATTTTTGAATGATTGTAATTCTAATTGTTCATTTTCCACGAGATAAACCATTAATGTTAGGATTAATATAAAAATATAAAACACGTGACAAAATTATGTAACATGTGTTCAAACGCAATATTGAAAATTTGAAATAGAAAAATTAATATCCGAGTTAAAATTTATTTTTGAATAATTGTAATTCTAATTGTTTATTTTCCACGTGATAAACCATTAATATTCAGATTAATATAAAAATATAAAGCACGTGACAAGATTATGTAACATGTTTTCAGACACAGCATTGAAAAATTGCAATGGAAAAATTAATATTTGAGTTCAAATTTATTTTTGAATGATTGTAATTCTAATTGTTTATTTTCCACGAGATAAACCATTAATATTCAGATTAATATAAAAATATAAAGCACGTGACAAGATTATGTAACATGTGTTCAAACACAACATTGAAAAATTGCAATAGAAAAATTAATATTTGAGTTCAAATTTATTTTTGAATGATTGTAATTCTAATTGTTCATTTTCCACGAGATAAACCATTAATGTCAAAATTAATATAAAAATATAAAGCACGTGACAAGATTGTGTAATATATGTTCAAACACACATAACCATAATAATGCCCGAATTAATTTTCCATGAAATAAGTTACGGTTTATGTCAAGCTAAAGCTAGGTACTAAATAGGAAAAGTTCCTTTTAATTTATTCAAGGAAACTTCTATGAAGACCATTGAGTTGTTATAACTTTCCTTCCACCATTAACATTCATTAAGTATGCCTATTAAAAATTCTATTACGAGTAGAATTATATAGAGAATTTAATAATGAGAAATACAACTTTGCAGGAAAGTATTCTACAAATAAAAACGAGTTAAAAAACGTAGAATACATTTTCTTCGTCTGAAGTATCGTTTTCAAGAAAATCGAGTTTGAAATGAGCGTTGACGCTGCACCAGCAACCATATTGACTGCGTTCGCCGGGGAATTAACTATGAACTTCGAATTCAATTTTCTCAGAAACGGCGCGTTAAATGCAAAAATTTCATTCTTTGTTTCGACTTGCTTTTGCTCGTAGAATCACTTCCTGTCGTTCTGGATCATCCTTTGTTAAATATCCTACATATACTACCTTGAAAATCATATTCAACAAATTTCTGCGTGGGTGAACATTCATACTTGCAATAAGCTTCCGATGCCCATTTATTGCGAAATACTTGTATCAAATAATATATCCCACACACGTGAACCCTGATATTTTGAACAAACGCGGTAATTCATCCTAACGAATGGCACTAAAACTCAACCGGACGACGCTCGTAATATAACGCAATAATTAAATCCATCTCATAAGCCGTAATTATTCATCCTCCGCGACAAATTCTACGAAATTCTATCCACCTGTTTATTAACGATCATCGATTTCGCTGCACGATCAATCAATCATGAAACTTTCGCGCTAGGCGAGACTTATCTACCGCGTCGCGACATATGATTATACGTAATTACGGGCAATTACACGAAATTACCGATACTAATCTCGGATAAACAAAACAAAAAATACAAGGGCAAAATACAAAAATTAAACAAGAAATACAGAAGCAAAATACAAGAACTAAACAAAAAATACAAAAGAATAGTACAAAAACTAAACAAAAGATACAATAGCAAAATACAAAAACCAGACAATAAATACAAAAGCAAAGTACAAAAACTAACCAACAAAAGATACAATAGTAAAGTACAAAAAGTAAACAAGAAACACAAAAGCAAGATATAACTAAACAAAAAACACAAAAGCGAAATACAAAAAATAAACAAAAAATACAAAAGCAAAATATAAAAACTAAACAAAAGATACGAAAGCAAAATACAAAATTTTAACAAAAAATACCCACATTCCACGGAAATTTTTCGCAAATTTGCAGAGTCGCAACGATTAAACCTGTTTCTAACGTCGCCGCCAACGAATGCTACATTCGACGAAACTCTTTGGGGCTAATTAATTTATTTCGGGGCGTTTCCCGCATAAATCGTTGCGCCACGTTCCCGTAGACAGACGATTACACTGTATTAACGGGGAGGCTGAACAAGAATCAAATTTCGACGCTATTTATAGCGGATTGTAATGGTACCGTGATCGAATTACCTGTTCTGGTTAACAAAATAGACACGCTGGAAAGCAAAAGCTTGTCGGTGGAGTGTAATTAAAGGACACACGTCGTTACGGATATTAACGTATTGATCGATGTCCCCCGTTTTATGACGTTTTACGTTTCGCCCCCGTTTCGCCGCCAATGTGACGCACCCCCACTCCCGTCGCCCGTTGCGCGGCCCGCCACTTTTTGATTACGTAAACGATTTTAATTAACACATTGCACGGACAGTCCGTGACGGAAGACGATGCACGGTCTAATTATTTTCAACGTACCACGCGACTCGAATTTTTATAAACGTTTTAATGACCACTTGCTGTAATTTCTTGTGCTTTAATTATAACGCAAGGGTCGCACGCGAACCCGAATTTTTCCGAGATTGTTATTCCCTTCTGAGACGCTGGATATGCTTACAGTTTGTTGGATATGGAAATTTTCGCGACATGTACAGGGTGTCTCAAAAGTAAGGGTAGCTTTTGGAATTAATTTTCGGTTCTCTTCGAAAATTTTGGACATTTTTTATTTTTATTTTAACGAGTATGTAAATTCAGATTTCTTGACTTGTAGCATCTTCTTAGATATTTTATTACGTCTTTCTGCCTCGGAAATGCAATTCTGCGAATAAACCAAGTGAAGTAATCGAATCTTCTGTAGTTTGGATTCAGATAGGGAAAACACTATTATCAAGAAACCTGTGAGTTCGGTCAGGATTCTTTTGTCGTTCGTTCACTGATGAAATTCCATTTTTATTTTTCATCCGACAGTACCTGGGTCGGCGAAGGTCCATCGACTTGGACGACCAAGAGATCCTTATAGACTTCAAGCCAGCGCCCGTGTCGCCGGATGCGCGAGCTCTTCTGAACCGGATGTCCCAGACGACGCGTAGGTTCCTGCCGTTGCAGAAGACCCTCTCCGATGGTGAAATTCGCGTGGAGAGACGCGAGCTGATCGGCGAAACCGGTGAACCGAGTTATCCTCACACGTGCAGGAGGAATCATCAGGACCCCTGGGGCAGGACCGTCAGAGCACCCGTCCAATTCTCCTCGACGCCCGAGGATCTGTCCTTGCTCAGGGTCGCTTCGCCCCAAGAGGATCATCCCGAAGAGGTAGGTAGTAAAATTGCTGTAAAATTAATCCCGAATTTTGTGGTAGAAATTGCAGGATAATAAACTGAATCCTCCATATTTTTAAAATAGCTTTACTTTTAATAGCTTTAATATCTTAAAAATCTTCTGTATTTAATATTTTTAATATCTAAAAAGTCCTCCAATATTTAATATTTCTAACATTCTGAAAATCTTATTACATTCGACGAAACTCTTTGGGGCTAATTAATTTATTTCGGGGCGTTTCCCGCATAAATCGTTGCGCCACGTTCCCGTAGACAGACGATTACACTGTATTAACGGGGAGGCTGAACAAGAATCAAATTTCGACGCTATTTATAGCGGATTGTAATGGTACCGTGATCGAATTACCTGTTCTGGTTAACAAAATAGACACGCTGGAAAGCAAAAGCTTGTCGGTGGAGTGTAATTAAAGGACACACGTCGTTACGGATATTAACGTATTGATCGATGTCCCCCGTTTTATGACGTTTTACGTTTCGCCCCCGTTTCGCCGCCAATGTGACGCACCCCCACTCCCGTCGCCCGTTGCGCGGCCCGCCACTTTTTGATTACGTAAACGATTTTAATTAACACATTGCACGGACAGTCCGTGACGGAAGACGATGCACGGTCTAATTATTTTCAACGTACCACGCGACTCGAATTTTTATAAACGTTTTAATGACCACTTGCTGTAATTTCTTGTGCTTTAATTATAACGCAAGGGTCGCACGCGAACCCGAATTTTTCCGAGATTGTTATTCCCTTCTGAGACGCTGGATATGCTTACAGTTTGTTGGATATGGAAATTTTCGCGACATGTACAGGGTGTCTCAAAAGTAAGGGTAGCTTTTGGAATTAATTTTCGGTTCTCTTCGAAAATTTTGGACATTTTTTATTTTTATTTTAACGAGTATGTAAATTCAGATTTCTTGACTTGTAGCATCTTCTTAGATATTTTATTACGTCTTTCTGCCTCGGAAATGCAATTCTGCGAATAAACCAAGTGAAGTAATCGAATCTTCTGTAGTTTGGATTCAGATAGGGAAAACACTATTATCAAGAAACCTGTGAGTTCGGTCAGGATTCTTTTGTCGTTCGTTCACTGATGAAATTCCATTTTTATTTTTCATCCGACAGTACCTGGGTCGGCGAAGGTCCATCGACTTGGACGACCAAGAGATCCTTATAGACTTCAAGCCAGCGCCCGTGTCGCCGGATGCGCGAGCTCTTCTGAACCGGATGTCCCAGACGACGCGTAGGTTCCTGCCGTTGCAGAAGACCCTCTCCGATGGTGAAATTCGCGTGGAGAGACGCGAGCTGATCGGCGAAACCGGTGAACCGAGTTATCCTCACACGTGCAGGAGGAATCATCAGGACCCCTGGGGCAGGACCGTCAGAGCACCCGTCCAATTCTCCTCGACGCCCGAGGATCTGTCCTTGCTCAGGGTCGCTTCGCCCCAAGAGGATCATCCCGAAGAGGTAGGTAGTAAAATTGCTGTAAAATTAATCCCGAATTTTGTGGTAGAAATTGCAGGATAATAAACTGAATCCTCCATATTTTTAAAATAGCTTTACTTTTAATAGCTTTAATATCTTAAAAATCTTCTGTATTTAATATTTTTAATATCTAAAAAGTCCTCCAATATTTAATATTTCTAACATTCTGAAAATCTTATAATATTTAATATTTCTAACATTTTGAAAATCTTATAATATTTAATATTTTTAATATCTAAAAAGTCCTCCAATATTTAATGTTTTTAATATCTAAAAAGTCCTCCAATATTTAATATTTCTAATATTTTGAAAATCTTTTAATATTTAATATTTAATATTTTTACTCTTGAAACTCTTCTAATTTTTAATGTCCTTAATATTTAAGAAATCTTCTAATATTTAATATTTATAATGTCTTTAAAATTTTCTAATATCTAATATTTAATATTTAAAAAATTTCTTAAATTCCCTGATATTTAATATTTTTAATATCTTGAAAATCCTTTAATATGTAATATTCTTAATATCTTACAAATTTTTTTACATCTAATAACATTGATATCTTAAAAATTATCTAATATTTAATATTTTTAATATTTAAAAAATCCTCTGATATTTAATACTTTTAATATCTGGAAAATCTTTTAATATTTAATATCTTTGCTATCTTCATAATCTTTTGTGAAATATGTGTATGGAATATAATTGCTACAGTGGTTTCAAAAGTTGATGAATGTATGATTGGTAATTCAAATTTGTAACATGTCAGATTTTTATTTTTTTTTTTTTTGTTTCAGTATTTTAGGTATTTAGAAACTTTAACAATATTGCTGTAAAATGCAATAGTACAAACAATTATTTTCTATATTCCATAGAAAAAGTAATAAAGCTTAAAAATAGAATATTTTCTATAAATCGTAGAATATATATATATTCGATATTTTAATTTTTCTAAATATTCTGTATAAAATATTCTATGTTTAATAATTCCATGTACAATATAAATATAAGCAAAATACCAGATCGGTGTTTGAATAATTACGAGCAGCAGAGTATATCGAGATCGTGAATCAATTTTTAGGAAATGGCGTAACATCGTTTTTAGTCAATTTTTCGACAAAAAGCAAGGATATCCGTGTTCGGAAATTTTTATCAGCGATCATGCATCGACGCAATTTTTCCGATACGTTTCGTCTAGTGTTGCATAGAAGCACAGAGCATTATGGGATGCTGAGATCGCTGGCACAGAAGCATTCTAAATCGCTGACTCACTGCAATCTATATTCTCGCTCCGTTGAAATCTTTCAATCTCTATCTATCAAACTTTTCAAATGACTCTTTCCTTCTTGAATGGATACGTGATATCATCGTCAAACCATCGATTCTCCTGGCCACTTTTGTTCTAAGTGAAATCCTCCATAACTCTATTCGACGTGCAAGTTATTTCACCATACCTCTATATTTTTCGAAATTTTATTTTCCCAGGTTTATTGAAAAATAACTGTTACCTCTCGTTTTCAGAGAAAAGAAACCTTTTCATCGACTGGAATTATTAATCGATGTTATTCATGGTCTGGATTAAGTGTCTGTTAGGATTAGACAATTTTTAATTTAATTCTTTATTCTTAATAACGAATTACATAAAATAATTATATAGAATTATGATATATAATTATTATAAAGCGTCAGAGGATTGTTTATATAGAAGAATTAAAATATTATTTTGTACTGCTATTAAAAAATTATTTGAAAAGTATATAATATTAGGTTAGAATAAATAAAATATATAATTCGTTAATTTTCTCGAAGATTCGTAAATGTAATATTTTAAAATACCGTTTAGTTAATTTTACAGTCACGAATTTTGTCCTAAAATAATTATATAGAATTATTATGAAAAGTCAAAGATTTGTTTATAAGGAAAAATTAAAGTATTATTTTATACTGCTATTAAAAAATTATTTAAAATGGAAATAATATTAGGATAGAATAAATAAAATATATAATTAGTTAATTTTGCAGTCACGAATTTTCTCCTAAAATAATTATATAAAATTATGATATAGAATTATTATAAAGCGTCAGAGGATTGTTTATAAAGAAGAATTAAAGTATTATTTTATACTGCTGTTAAAAAATTATTTAAAAAGGGAATAATATTAGAATAGGATAAATAAAATATATAATTCGTTAATTTTCTCAAAGAAGATTTGTAAAGGTAATATTTTAATAAACCATTGATGCAATGTTTAATTTAATATTATTAAATTATTATTCTTAATAACGAATTACATAAAATAATTATATAAAATTATGATATATAATTATTATAAAACGTCAGAGAATTGTTTATACAGAAGAATTAAGGTATTATTTTGTACTGCTATTAAAAAATTATTTGAAGAGGAAATAATATTAGGATAGAATAAATAAAATATATAATTCGTTAATGTTCTCAAAGAAGATTCGTAGAAATAATATTTTAAAATACCGTTTTGTTAATTTTACAGTCACTAATTTTGTCCTAAAAGCGTCATAAAATTTTCCTTTATCTCAAATGAGGGAAGCTGCGAAATGCCCATGAAAAGCAGTAAAAGTGATAAACTTTCGAGTTTGTGTCGTGTTTAATTTTCAAGAGCAATATAATAGCGACTGTACTCGGGTTAAGAGAACAAATATTGGATTTTCGATAGCAAGACATTTTCGAAGTCGTAGCAGGGTGAAGTTCGATGCACTTCAAGTTGAACGAAATTTCAACGCTGAGTGCTCGAATTTTTACTGACCCCTACTTCCGCAACTGAACCGAAGCCTAAGTTAACAACGCGTGCAATGCATCCTGGATTTAAGCACCTTCCAAACTTTCCTCCACCTTAATTGCTTAAATTTAAAAATTTTCGCGTGAATAACGACCGTGCACCCAGCTTTGACTCTCAATTTCAACTATTATTCCTTCGTCTTTCGTTTTCTTTCTAAATTCTTAATCTACCTTAATTTCTATTTTAAAAGAGAGGAAAATAAAAATCATTCGTTGTACCAATAAATCATTGATTAAGAAAAAAAAATTAATTAAGAAAAATTTCTATTACTAGATTAAATACTATTATTATATACTTATACTATTTACATATTTCACTCGTGTATCTGAGATTTCGTGAATAAATTTGCGAGTAAAATAAATTGAGCTGAAATATTTTACCGTGCTATTTGAAAATTAATTAAAATCGTAAATTGGTCGAAGCCTTCAATCGCGCAATTAATATTCGCATTTCTTAATTACAGTTTGAAATTCTGCTTTTATAAATAAGTTATCGAGGAGTATTTTGCGGGTGAACTTGATGGAACTTTCTTAATCATCGATTATTTCTACGAAGCAAATTTTCCTAATATTTTCGCTGAATGCAGTTTTTCTTTGGATCGTTGGGAGATCGTGGAACTAATTAAAAGTTCTTAAAGAATTCGCTACTTTGTGCGAGGTGCTTGAATTTTAATCGATCACGCTTGAAGAAGTCCGGAAGAAAGTTATTTTAATTGAATAAAACGCTAACTTTTTTCCCGTTCACCGGATATATATGCCTTTAAAAGGATAGGGCCAAAGGGGCCAAAGGGTCTGATCACTTTCTCAACAATAATAGCGGATCTTTAATTACTTTACGAAGAACTTGCAGGTTCGATGAGTTATACGCTGAACTCATTTTAACAAGGAAGTTCGAGGAAAAAGAACTTTCCTGTTTTGTACTGTTTAAAATTCTCCCTATTGCTTTAATTTTATGATACTATGGATTTTACCGGTACCGTGTTCCGAACAAATTTGTACGAAAATTTTGTTCTAGCTATTCATGAAAATGTTGATATTATAAAATTACTCGTGTATCACCTTTTTTAATTTGCGGTATAAAAATTCAGTTATAATTGTGTTTTAATTGACATATAATGATTACACAGTCGTAATATTCCTATTCTAATTTCTCTTTTTAATTTATTTATCACTGTTATTTTTTTCTAGAAATATTACTTTATGTATACTTTATTTTGCTTTTATTTTACTTTATTTATAAATACTTTTATAAATGCTTTAATTTTATGATACTATGGATTTTACCGGAACCGTGTTCCGAACAAATTTGTATGAAAATTTTGTTCTAGCTATTCATGAAAATTTGGATATTATAAAATTACTCCTGTATCACCTTTTTTAATTTGCGGTATAAAAATTCAGTTATAATTGTGTTTTAATTGACGTATAATGATTACACAGTCGTAATATTCCTATTCTAATTTCTCTTTTTAATTTATTTATCACTGTTATATTTTTTCTAAAATTATTACTTTATATATACTTTATTTTTCTTTTATTTAACTTTATTTATAAATACTATAACCCTTTGCACTCGTTACTGGAAAATTGTAATTCGAAGACTTTCTGCCATAAAGTCGACGATATTTCTAAAACGGTAAATAAGAAATCGTGTGAAAATTAAGACGTAGAATTATTTTACTTTGATATTCCACGCATCTTTGGGTAATTGTAAATTTGATATATTAATTAACATCCATCTTTAGAATATGATTAAATGGCGACTGAGAGGCGCCTCGAGTGCAAAGGGTTAATATAATATTAATAAACTAGTAACTGGAATAGACTATAATAATAGTAAAGTAATTATAGTAATAAATTTCATTTCATCCTTTATTTTATTTATTATTATATAAGGGATTTAATAATCTTTATTTTTCTTTTCTTTTTCCTTTTAGTTATTATATAGGATATATATGGACTTTTAATTTATTTTTTGGTTCTTATTTGTCGCTGCATAAAAAGATGTAATAGACATGAAATTGTACAGAACAAAATTTTACCATCATCTTTATTTCATATCATCGAAGGTACACAGTTTGAAGCGTATTGTGTGGTCCGTACCTGATAAATACAGCAATCCTACGGTACTCGTTACGTTTACACGTTCTCCAATATATTTATCTTACCGTTTGCACATTCGCTTCTCTATTTGTTCCTTACGCTTTGTGTGTTTCCACTTTCTTTCTAACATGCACGCTCAAACACATTTCACTTTCCTTTTCTGATGCTTTCAATTTAAAGGACTGGGAAATCAATATAAAGCTCGTACTGTACGGGGGTTCCTTTCATGGCTTGTCATAAATTTTTTTTTCAAAATCGAATCTCTATCGAATCTCTTAAATAGAAAACGAAATTGGAACTACGATCATCTACGTACAGTGTTCCCTTTTATTACCTGTTTACTTTTGTGTTACTCTTACATGTTATGGTATTGAATATCCGCTATAAACTATTATTGCAGATTATTAAGTTCTTGGTACACGTTATGAAATTGTCATTATGGACCATTAAATAATTAAATAAATTGTTAAGGTGTTCTTAATTACTAAATTATCATTATCGAATGGTAATTTTTATTTTAAATTGTTAAATTATTAGTATAAACTGTAAAACTACTGTTATACATTTTAAATTACTCTAAATTGCTAAATTATTATCATAAAATGCTAATTTTTATTTAAAATTGTTAAATTATTAGTAAAAACCATTAAACTACTATTATACATTTTAAGTTACTTTAAATTGCTAAATTATTATCAGAAAGTGCTAATTTTTATTTAAAATTGTTAAATTATTAATATAAACTGTTAAACTACTATTATACATTTTAAGTTACTCTAAATTAATAAATTAATACCATAAAACATTAAATTTTTATTGTAAATTATTAAAGTATTCTGAATTGCTAAATTGTTATTATAAAATGTTAAATTTTTGTTTTAAATTATTAAATTACTAGTATAAATTATTAAACTGCAGTTATAAATGACGAGTCATAAAAAGTGTTATTAGGCCACGTAATTTTTATGACAGCCTTTGAAAATACTTTTCGTATGTTTGTGACGCTGTTATAGTGTGTTACATGTGTAACTTCAAATGGCATCGTACTTTAATTAAAGCGAATATTTAGTCGCTCATTGCAAATTGATCTTCAAGTAGACACAGATAAAAAAGAGAGAAAAATTTGAAGTGAGTTTATTAAAAAAATTGCTTGACAGCACTTTCAACAGGTGGCTACACAAGGTATTAATTATTTTCAAATGAAATCACTTTATACTCGTATTTCCTAATTAATTACCGAATATTTTTAAGTTTTTTAACACATAGACACTGACATAAAATTATGGCTCTTCATAATTGATTATCTTCTACACGAATTTATCATATAATGTCTTCTGCTATAAAACCACAAATATTTCTTCAAAAACGTAACAGAGAATTATAAGCAAACACAAAAATGAGTACAATGTATAAGCCATCATTAACAATGCAAAGTAATTAACTCTTTTCTTGAATTTTTCAAAATCTTCGAATCAGGATACTTAATTATTATTATTATTATTAATAATGTACAATAACAGGTAACATTTTACATTTAAAATAAATTTCTTACCTTTTCTGGAATTAATAGATTTGGTAAATGTGGAATGATATGTTAATATTTATATATACTATATATAGTAAATATGTCTGTCATATACACTATGTATATTATATATACTTTAATAACAATAGACACATTACATAATATTACACTATGTATAGTACATATACTATATAATAATGTATATTTGAATCATCCATTGTGAAGTATCCTGTATAAACCAGTTTCAAAATTATGTTTAACAAATTTCCACATGAGTGAACACTTATAGTCACAGTAAGTACCTATATGAAATAGTATTGTATATTCCATACACATGGATTCTGATATTTTGAACAAACATGGTATATAGAAAATATTAATGCCTTTTGTATACACTGTATAGACTATGTGTAATATAATAGCAGTACTCGCATACATAGTACACTACATAGTACAGTATATGTATTTAAACATAGTACACTTCATAGCGTAGTATATGTACTGAAGCATAGTACACCACATAGTACAGTATATGCACTCAAACATAGTATACTGCATAATACAGTATATGTAGTTAAACATAGTATACTACATAGTAACAATTTCTACAGTAGCTGCCATGTCTACATAGTTCACTGCACAGTACAGTATCTGCACTCAAACACAGTACACTACATAGCACAGTATATGTACTCAAACATAGTGTACTACATAATAAAGTATATGTAGTTAAACGTAGTACACTACATAGTAATAGTTTTTACAATAACTTTCATGCCTTCATAGTACAGCATATGTACTCAAACATAGCACACTACATATTACAGTATATGTACTGAAACATAGTACATAGTACAGTATATGTACTTAAACACAGTACACTACAGTTAATGCACTATACATAGCAACAGTTTCTATAATAGCTGCCATGCCTACAAACACCTCCTTTGGACACGTGATCCTCGACTCGCTCAGCTTTGCATCTTCCCACCCCAGAAATTATCCTAGTTCCCAACAGCCTCGATCATCCGGATCTGAAAAATTTCGACGAGCAGCGGATTCCGCCTGAGGGCTACTCAGGCCCGTCCTCCCTGAGCGACTTCGGAGCTTCGAAACTCGAAGGGACCAGAAATCGATAGCCGTCGCAAAGTCCTCTTTTCCTCTTTGCTAAAGTCTCGACCAGCCGGAGCAGAAAAAAGCGGATGGTTGAAAACACGTTCCCTCAAGCCTCGTCCCGACTTTGTTTCCATACATGCACTCTGAGGATTCTTCTTTAACCCTCATGCATAAGTGACAACCCCGTATTTGAAATCAAGGGACATTCAAAGTTTCAATTGCCATGACAATCATCCCTACTCTTTGTAACCTTAGTTGCATTTCTCTTGTGAACTTAATCAGCCATTAATAGTCCTCATTGTGATTTAAAAATTAGGGATTTACTGGATAAGGAATTTTCCTATTTAAATTAGGAAAATTTCAGTTGTGTGTACTGTAAGTAGCTCAGAAGAAGACTTCTCTCTCGGACAATGTTGTCAACAACCAATAATAATCATAATCTTATCTTTAGAGTGGTGATGTACAAATTGACTGTTGACACTATTGGTGATGTACATATGTCAGATTGACTCCATGTCATTACAAAAGTAACGACTTGAAATCAAATTGACTCCATGTCAATAGAGTTGACTTGACGTCAAATTGACTCTGTATCAATAGAGGTGACTTGACATCAAATTGACTCCGTAGCAATAGAGGTGACTTGACATGAAATCAACTCCGTAGCAGTAGAGGTGACTTGACATGAAAATTAACTCTGTATTAATAGAGGTGACTTAAAGTCAACTTGACTCCGTATTAATAGAGGTGACTTAAAGTCAAATTGACTCCTTGTGAGTAGAGGTGACTTGACATCAAATTGACTCTATATCAATAGAGATGATTTGACATCAAATGGACTCTATGTCAATAGAGGTGACTTGACGTGAAAATTGACCCTGTATCAATAGAGGTGACTTGACGCCAAATTTACTCCGTATCATCAGTCGTGAGATCTAAGTATCTATAGTCCGACCGAAGAGACGAGATACCAATGTTTACATCAATGCCTTCGTGATTGATTAAATGATCTACAGCTAGTGGTCTATCTTTTTAAGCCTCAGGAACGAAATTTTCACAATTATTGTAGGCTCTTGAAAGAACGTTCAGAATTCATATAGGGTTCTACTGTTCCTACAAAGTTCCGTGTAATTATTGGGTCCAAGTACTCTGAAGTTGATCCTGATTTAACCACGCATTCATCACGTGTACTCGTCGCATTTGCTATCTCATCTTATTGCACGTTTCGTACTATACTATAATAGTATACTTACAAGATCTAGGTATCTAAGGACACGTCAAATTGACATCATGTCGCTACCAACGATACGGAGTCAATTTGACGTCGAATCACTATTATCGATAAGGAGTCAATATGACACCACAGTACCACTAGTGCTATGAAAATACTGATCCTCGCTCGAAGGTCAACCCTGCAAGGTCGATGTATAATTCCTGATGTCTATTCTCACGGTTGAACCAAAATTAAATCAATCTTTGCGCATCTTTTAAATATATCTATCTTAAATAATGGAAAATTGATTGTATTTAAATTAGTCATGATTCGGGTCAGATACCTTGAAACGTTTCTCTAGGTAAAGTCAGACGAAATCCATAGAGTCTAGAGACGAATATCCTGGGGTGATTAAAACCAATGACTTTTGAACATTGGCATTAAGACGAACGTGACACGGTTGCAGGAGTTTCACGAGAATATCATCCGGAAATGCGGACTTTTCCGGAAGAGAAGCGTGTCATTGGAGGACGGTGTGCAAGGCTTAGCAGCGGACGACTTCATGCTACCGAGATCGCTCCCCACGTCCCCTACATCGCCGACTGCAGTGGCAGGTATGAATAGCGATTCGTATTTCGTTATTTCCGCAATCGTGTGAAATTTTCAGAAAGTCCCACGACGCGAATGAAGCCAGCGAACCGAGATTTCGCCGTTTTTATACTAGCCTCCTTGCGGACGTCCCGTCGACCATCTGTGTATATTCTTGTTCCGTGGCACGCGAGACAGTCTTTCCTGGTTAGATGAAATTGGACTTTTTTATTCTTTCTACTTGCGAACGGTTTTGCGCTGCGATGTCGAGCGATGTTTCGAGGTGATTTGAGAAGAAGGATTAGGTACTTAAAACAGGTGATTGATCGACGTGCTAATAGATACTGGAGTTAATGATTTTAAGTAGGTGGATGGGATGAGAAGCAGCCATGTTCAACAAAAATAAAATTTTTATTTATAGTAATAATATATATTGACAAAGTCGTCATCTATTTATAGTTCATTTCTGAATTACATCTAGTAAATAATTATTAATATTAGAATAACAAAAATTAACTTAAATAGATACCACAGTTAATGATTTTAAATAGGTGGATGGGATGAGAAGCAGCCATATTGAACAAAAATAAAATTTTAATTTATAGTGATAATATATATTGACAAAATCGTTAATCATTTATAATTCATTTCTGAATTACATCTAGTACATAATTATTAATATTAGAATAACAAAAATTAACTCAAATTCAATAAAAATAAAAATAAAAATAACAAGACTAAGAAAAATCTAATTATTTTTATAATATGAATTATAATTTGAACAATAAATACAATTAATATATTGTAAATAAAATTAAATATAAATATAATTTTTAAATATAATTATTTTATATAATTATTTTTATTGGATTTGAATTAATTTCTTTTTTGATGTTACTTTGATATTATTTCTAGTGTTAATTAATTCTAATATTGATAATTATTTAGAGGATGTAATTCAGAAATTAACTATAAATAGATGAAGACTTTGATAATTTATTCCCAGTTTGACTGTTATTTATATTTATATTTATGACTATTTTTATTTTTATTAAAATAAAAAGACTAAGAAAGATCTAAAATTATAATTATTTTTATAATTATTTTATATACTTATTTTTATTGAATTAATTTCCTCTTTTTATATTATTTTTTTATGTTATTGTTATATATTATTTCTAATGTTAATTAATTCTAATATTGATAATTATTTAGAAGATGTAATTTAGAAATTAACTATAAATGGATGAAGACTTTGACAATTTCTTTTCAGTTTCACTGTTATTTATATTTATATTTATGACTATTTACTGTTATATATTTATTATGTATTATTATATTAGAAGAGTAATTTCAAAGTATTTTGTATACTAGTAATCGACATTTAACTTTTCGTTAACAAATTAATATAATTCTCAAGTATTACATAAATAACGATTTTATTGTTAAAACGATGCACAAAAATTTTGTTTGGAGAGATATAAATTTTATTTTCTGTAAAAGCAGATAGATCACGAATCCTTCCGTGTGGTTTGTCTCTTTTGTTTGCCCGATGTTTGAGAAGATTTGCCGAATACGAAGTTACCCTTCTCTGTTCATGCTTTTGTTTCCTTCATCCAATTTCAAGCTTTGGGTTTTATGTGCGTTCGAAAGCCGTCAAAATTTTCAAGCAATTTGCAGTGTGAAAGGTAGCCAGTCCGAATATCGGGTTTAAGGTGAAAGTATGGGTCAGTGGATTGGGCAGCAGAACAAATCGTGCAGCAAATAAAGGATTCTTATCGAATCCTGAACCAATAGTCCCTTTTGTCGATCTTACTTCCTTCTGAAATATTTAGACACGATTTGTCCAAAATATACATTATTCGACGTTATTATTCACCATTGTCAACCAATAACTGTGTCTATACAGTAACTGATTTTTAAAATAAACAAACATGAATAAAATTTATAAAATTTTCTGAGGCTTTTGAAAAAATATGAAATACAGAAATATATTGTAATAAATAAAATTTGACGATTTAGAGGACTGTACTAATTCACACGTGGATTTGTTATTCAATATTTTTAATTCCAATTGCACTATTTGTTAAATATATCAGGATGTTACTATTCCACTGCAAATTTCGCTAAACGAAAAATTTGAAGTCTATTCTAATCATAGAATTTTAATATTTATTTTCTTACAGTTGACAGGTACTTCGGAAAAATTTGTTTCAATTTCTTTCACTTTTGAAATATTGTTAATTGTCCTCCTTTTACATATAATATTCGACTATTTAATTGCAATAAATTAATTATTGTTCCCCACAAGTTGGAAAAACTCTAGATATAAAGAATTAAACTATATAAAACGCAACGCGACTAAGTTACGAACGGCGCGCACGGTGGCCATGATTAAGAAAGCGCGCGAGATTTGAAACTTCATTAGCAGTATCTCTTCGTTTTCTTTATGGAAATATATAAAATGAATATTTTTCTAACTTATCCAACTTCACCTCTTGATATTTCTTCCTCTTTTCTCGTGCTGATAAATTCTATTTATTATCCCATTAAAAAAGAAATATGGGATAAATAATCCATGTAACTCGGATAGCAATTGTAAAGTTATACACTCGTGCACTGTATTCTTCAATAATAGTGATTGTTTTCGTTATTCCAGCGCCACGGAGGATTTTGCAAAGCCCAAAGGACTACGAGTCACCGGTTCGTCCAATCCGGCAAAGCGGACAAATTTGTCCGCTACTTTTCAGTCCTGGGACCGTGATTTCCGGTTTGATCACGTCTCCGTTCGCGTCCAGCGATTCGCTAACGAACGACGTCACAAGGGACCACAGCGACGGAATTTGGAACGAGTCTCAGGCGACGGTCCTCCAGGCTGACTCGTTGGCCCTTTTGACACCGTCCTCGAGGAGAAGGCACCTCCTGCTTCTTCAGCATCAACAACGTTCCTCGATGGACACAGAGGCGTTGGATATCGAAGAGACGATGGAATCGCGTCCTTCCAGTCCGAGGATACGCCTCGAGCCGTCAACGCCTCTTCAAGCGTTAACACCGAGGTAAGATGTTCAGAGATCTTTTTGAATTTAGCAACTCGTTACGACGGTAAAAATTTCGACACTCGACATACAGTTTCCAAATATAACACTGCACAAGTTGTTCTACAAGTGTCTTACGCGACTGGGATTAGCTGTGTCTTTGAAAAAGTTAGATGAATATTAACCCTTTGAGCGTTATGAACGCATATATAGGTTCTCGCGTAACCATTAAATTTGGGCTATAAACACTGTATAGTTTTATAAAATAAGAATTTTGTCACAGTTTACAATTAGTTTAGAATATTGCTGAGACGTGCTTTTTCCTGTATTTTAGAATTTAACCAATCAGTTTGTACTTAACGACTTAACACATTGAGCGCCGGTCCTGTGAAAACGCGGGTTTCTAAGTTTGTCACTTGACTCTCGCCATCACGATGATGAGGATTCTTTTTTGCTTGAATGCATGCCTTACACATGTGTAGTTTTGAATTATTGTAGTTTGGAGGCTGCAATGATCTAGATTCATTCCACTTTATGAAATAATAATAGTAAACTGTAATTAATTTTGAAGAACGTGTGGAATTAAATTATTGGTTTTAAAGCAGATTTAATTTTCTCAAATCGGATGGCACTAAAAATGCATGAAATTATTCTCAGGTTATGTGGTGTCATATCACTTAATTTTTGCTTAGAACGTTTTTACTCGTGTTTAAACGTTTCGAAGATATATACAGCATGTCCCAGTTACGTGGATTATCCTGTATACATTTACCGTTTGAGGTTGCTGTGTGTAAACTGCTTCTATTGAGAATTAAGTTCTATTAATATATATTAAATTTACAATCATATTAGCTTATATCTTTCATGTATCTTTCCCTGGAATTATTTAAATAATTAATTTCTATGGCAAACAAGAAGATAGTATGATAAATCCAAATACGGATATAGCCTGGCCCATTTTAATTAACTTTGAATTTTGATACTGACTGCAAGCAACAATGCAACAAATGCAGTTTCATCGATTTTTAAATTTTAATGTTTTTGGGCGAACGAAAATATTTGACTATACCATTATTGAGAATGAAAACAATTCATCAAAGTATATGATCTTTTATGGTCTTTTGATATCTAACACATGATAAATCCACAAAGTCTGTACTTAAAAATGCAAAGGATCTACACACACATGTGCTATATTTAATTTTGCAGTAACCTATACAGTTAATTTACTTTTGACATCTGAGAGTGCAAGCATATAATTTTCATCGTTGGTGGGGTAAAATTGTACAATTTCAAAATATCATATCTCGGCGACAAAAAATCGTATGACGACAAATCAAATTGCATTTTGTAGATGAAGAGTGGTACTATATGACGTTATAAAAAGAAATCTTGAAAAAAATATTACTCCTTCTGACATTGCTCCACAAATTTCCCCAAAATTGAGTTTTCCAGTATTCATCTTCAAGCATCTGCCACGTCTGATATAATAACTGATATTTTCTACTAGATACATACTCAGCACTCAAAAATCTATTGGATATATTTTTCATTCACAAAACTCAAAGCTCATTTACCTGTTTTTTATACCTGTGCTATTATTTTGACCGGAGTATTTTAACTATTTTCTTTATTAGACACGAAAGAAAATAATATTTTATGTCCTAGGATCGTGATATTACAGAATAATATGATTCGTTGCAATAATTAAAAAATTGTATATAGGTTCCTTCAAAATTAAATTAGTCATACATATGTACTATCTTCCTGTCCGAGAATGTATATTCTAACTACAATAATTTGCACTTAAATATTACCTAATAAGTCCTTTTGAAAGATCCATTCATCCTATGATCGTGGTATTATAATATCATTAGCTGTAATAATTAAAAAGTTCTATACAGGTTACTTCAAAATTAATGATAATACACATGTACCATCTTTCTGACTGGGATTTTGTATTCTAACTAATTTGAACTTCAATGTTACCTAACAAGTCCTTCTGAAAGCTCCGTTTATCCTAGGATCGTGATATTACGATATCATTCGCTGTAATAATTAAGAAATTATATACAGGTTACTTCAAAATTAAATATAGCACACATTGCTATCTTTCTGACCAGGAATGTATACTCTAATTTGTAATTCAACCTTACTCGATATCAAAGTATCTGCTATAAATCTGGCCGTGGTGATATAGAACTGGTTAATAGCATGGAATCTTCCTGCCGCAAAGCCAGCCACAGGCCTCGAAAAAATTCACCAGCCTCAGCTTCGAGGCATCGGAACGAAATTCCCAATAAACCCGGTTTACACGCAAAAGCCCCGAACCTCCACCACAACATACAACGAACTCATCTACATCGAAACGTGATCACCCAAAACAACTCGCCAAAACTCATTACTAAAAGCCACTCTGCAAAACGAACAAAGGAACACGTCTAAAAAAAAAAGAAAGAGAACGGATCCCCAGTGAATTGCATCCCCGCTGCCAAGCAAACAGCACGAGATCACCCGCAGCACCTCATCGTTCGATCGAATCATCCATCGAACGCCCGTGCTGGAGTCGCCCGTTGTAAACACTTAAGCGATTTTTAAAGGCAATTACTTCTCAGCGTCGAATCGTCCGTGACGTCGCTCAACGGCAGACCCAGAGGCGTATTCCGTCGACCAAGCCCAGGCCCGCCACTGTCGCAGCCCCAGTCGCAGTCGTCCAGCGAATTCGGGCTGAGCCTAGCTAGAACGGACTCGGGCGGTCGCACCAACACAGACCTGTCCGAAACCTCGACCACCGAGGACTACGTCACTGCCAACACCTCCACCGAGACTGGGACCACAACCGGCACATCCGCTACGACCAGTTCCTGGTCCAGGCCCCCGCACACCTCTAGCGCCGCGGCCTCGGCCTCGGCGACAGCCACTGCCGCGGAGGGAAGCTCCTTCGAGAGCGCCAGCTCGATTTACAGCCTGGCTCGCAGCGAGGTGAGTTCTCTGTTATCTTTCTTCCGAACATTTTCTCGGCAAGTCTTGTGGGAGTTAAGGTCTTGTATATGGGACTTCTTGGGTATTATTGGCGAAGGCTGGGGGATGTCGACGCGTTGTATACGAGACTTCTAGGGTATTATTGTTGGATTTCGATTTCTTGGATATGGGATTTCTTTAATCATTTTGCCAATGAGTTTTGTCAACGGGAGTAGAGGTGTTGTATTTGTGGGACTTCCTGTATGTTATTGGCGAATTGGGGATATCGAGATCTTATATATGAGAGTCCTGGGATGTTATTGTTGAAATTTAACGTCTTGGATATGAGATTTCTGGGGTACTGTTGTATGCATTCTTTATTAAGAATTTTTCGTTAGAGCTGAGGTCTTATATGTGGGATTTATTGGGTGTTATTATTGTAAGCCGACGACTTGGATATGGGATTTCTTGGGTACTGTTGTATCCATTCTTTATTAAGAATTTTTCGTGGAAGTTCAGGTCTTATATGTGGGACTTCTTGGGTATTATTATTGGAAGCCAATGACTTGGATATGGGAGTTTTTAGGTATTGTTGTAGCTATTTTGTCAAGGAAATTTATGGAAGTTGAAGTCTTATTTATGGGACTCCTTGGGTATTATTGTTGGAAGTCGACAACTTGGATATGAGATTTCTTGAGTATTATTGTTGGAAGTCGACGTTTTGGATATGGAATTTCTTGGGTATTGTGGTAGCCATTTTGTCAACGAGTTTTCTCAACGGGAGACGAGGTGCTATATATGTGGGACTTCCTGGGTGTTATTGGCGAAATTTGTGGATGTCGAGGACTTGGGTATTATTGTTAGAAGTCGACGTCTTGGATATGGGATTTCTGGGGTACTGTTGTATGCATTCTTTGTTAAGAATTTTTCGTAGGAGTCGAGGTCTTGTATATGGGACTTCTTGGGTATTATTGACGAAATTTGGAGGAAATCAAGGTCTCCTATATGAGACTTCTAAGGTGCTATTGTTATAAGCCAACGACTTGAATATGGGATCTTTTAAGGATCGTTGTATCTATTTTGTATCTATTTTCTCAAGGAAATTTGTGGAAATTGAAATCCTACTTATGGGACTTCTTGGGTATTATTGTTGGAAGTCGACGTGTTGGATATGAGATTTCTTGGATACTGTCATATCCATTTCCAGTTAAGAAGTTTACCGTGAGTCTAAAAGTTTGGTGGAAGTCGAAGTCTTGTATATGGGATTTCTTGGATACTGTTGTAACCATTGTTTTTTAAAGAATTTTGTGGGAGTCTAAAGGTCTGATGGAAGTTAAGCTGTATATGGACTTCTTGGGTATTATTATTAAAAATTTACGTCTTGTATATAAAATTTCGTGGCTACTGTAACCATGTATTTGTGATGTAGCTGTAGGTATAGTGAGCTGCAGAACTATTTGGGTATTCCTGTTCTCTCAGTTATCAATTTTAAATCCTTGGTATTTTTCTAATAAAAATTTTGGTGGCCCTATCAATAGGAATATTATTGTTAGAATTTATTGGCGTTTGACTCTGTTCGAAAGCCTAGTTTTGGAATGTATTTTTAACTACAGTGGATTGTAGTATTTGTCTTCCTCCAGTTATCAACTTCAAATGACCGTTACTTCTTCTCCAATAACAACTCGTAATTTCTATCAGTGAGAAAATTTTTGTTCCTCCATTTTCTTAACGTTTAACTGTATTGGATAGGATTATTTTTCAATAGGACTATTTGTCAATTTCAATAGATTATTATTTTTTTAATGATCAAAATTTGGGAAGTGTTGTTAGCTGAAATATTCGTTATACTTTATTTATTAAATTTATTATTCAATTATCCAAGTTTTATGTAAATCTAACAGGAATTTTTGTAGATTATTCTTCACCATAAAAGGAGTCATAAAAATTTGTCAAAAATTTTGTTATTCTATTCTTTTCTTGCAATATTTTCATTAATTACGTTTAGAAAATATGATGAATTTTAATGTGCCTTTGAAAGATTTGTTGAAAGAGTCAATACGAACGTTTCCAAGAACCAATTAGTTGTAGTATCGGCATTATCACTAGGAAATGAAAGATCGAAGCAAGTATGCAATTATAGAACGTTACGCTTCATTGATATTCAGGCAATGTCTGCAATCTTGGATGTTTATTTGCAGCACATATCGCTGCAATGAATAGAGATGCTCCACTGAATAGAGAATACTCATGCATAAATAAGAAAATCGTACGATGAGGGCGAGTAGAAAAAAATTTTCTGGGTGCATGAATGTAATATCGACTCCATATCCTTACATTTTTCATATTTTATAATCCATACTATCTTCACGGATACTCGATCTTTAAATACACGCGAAACATAAAAATAACCAAAAAATATTTAATATTTAAAAACATTAAATTATACCATCATTACAAAATTCTTTTTCGTGTACCATACAATTAATATTCAATATAATCAACTCACGTACCACCATTTATGGGCAACATATACTAATTCTAGCCTAACGCCATTTTAATTTCCAAATTTACAATAACACAATGCATAATTGTAAACAATATATACTAATTCTAGCCTAACGCAATTTTAATTTCCAAATTTACAATAACACATAATGCATAATTGTAAACAATATATACTAATTCTAGCCTAACGCAATTTTAATTTCCAAATTGACTATAATATATAATGCATAATTGTAAACAATACATAATTCGCTAGAGAATTTTCAATTTCACTTAAACCAGTTACAATAATACCATTTATTACAATTACATTACATATGAACAATTAATGCCAATAATTAATTAAAAATGATAATTCTATTCTCCATAACTTTCTTAAAGTAAAAATAAAATATAAAAAGAATGTATCAGATCGCCATGTTTAATCTCGAAATACATAAATCTCTCATTAACCATCCATCGGCATGATGTTCACCAAACAGCGTCAACATCTCAATAAAATAAGAAGTCTTAAGATGCACAATGCGAAGTTGAAATTCCGCGGTGTGTCTCAGGCCGTCGTAGAAGAGCCATGCAGCCCGCCACCGATATTGGAGGAAACGGAAATTCCATTTAGACTGGAGGTACCCCCGTCGCCAGCTAGGTCCACGAGCAGCAGTAGTTCGGGCAGTTACGACCTGAAAGATGCCATGACAGATCCGGGTCAGGAGCTCGAGCAACAGACAGCGCCGCCAAGCGGACACACCTCGGAAACCGAATTGGACCGTGACGTAAGACGATAATTAAGCTAATTCCAATCAACCCGACGATCGTCTTTTATCTTGCCACCCGCTAATTTTCGTTCTCCTCTGGAAGACGTGATACCTTTACAATCGTGGTATACAGGATGTTGAAAAGAAAGGATTCGGAACTTCAGGAGTTCTAACTAGCAGTTGTTCTGACGGGTTCCATTGGGTGAGACAGGTGTTAGGTTAACACTGGGTTTACGGACGCTATCTGTAATGCTATCTATACCTATTTGTAAGGACATCTGTCAAATTGACAGGTAAAGGAAACCACGTGCCTCTTTTTCCAACGATTAGTTTAATTTAAAAATAATCATATGTTATATTAACAGTCTTAATATAAGTTAACTAAATTTGTTACCATCGTATAATTGGAGCAGCCCTTCCGTAAATCTAATGTTAATCTCCCAAGTTTCAGATTTTCTATAAATTACGTCGACGAAGTATCGTCGCAACGACTATTGTGTGAGTGAGACACGTATTTTGATTACAATTGAAATTAAAAACTAATGTTCGATACGTCAAAATTTATAAAAATACCTAGGTTAACTGGAGCGCTGAGTCGCGTCTAGAAATATCCATAATTTTGCGATATTTGTAGGTCTATTAACCTAACCTCACTTTCGCTACGGTGGCAGTCGCCGCGGAGTTCCTTGCGTAGAATGAAGCGCCATGTCGAAGATGGAAACATTACACGCGCTGTCTAGTATTCTGTTTAGTATTTGGAGCCAAATTTTTTGAAAAAAAAGAAAAAGAAAAAGAAAAATCGATCATCGCAATAGCGCTTGCAACTCTTTGCGAAGAGAGCTAAACGGAACGGAAGTACTTGTCTTAATTTTTGGTTTAATTTTTGTGGCCGGTGATTATAGTTATCTGTCGTGTGTAGATGGCGTCTCGTGACTGGTGACTATAGTCACTCGTCGTGTGTAGATGGTGTCTCGTGGCCGGTGACTATAGTCATCCGTCGTATGTAGATGGCGTCTCGTGGCCGGTGACTATAGTCATCCGTCGTTTGTTGATGGCGTCTCATGACCAGTGGTTGTAGTCACCCGTCGTGTGTAAATGGCGTCTCGTGGCCGGTGAGTATAGTCACCCGCTGTGTTTAAATGGCGTCTCGTGATCGGTGACTATAGTCACCCGTTGTGTGTAAATGGTGTCTCGTGATATAGTCACCCGCTGTGTTTAAATGGCGTCTCGTGATCGGTGACTATAGTCACCCGTTGTGTGTAGATGGCGTCTCGTATTCGTGTGTAGATGGCGTCTCGTGGCCGGTGACTATAGTCATCCGTCGTTTGTAGATGGCGTCTCATGACCAGTGGTTGTAGTCACCCGTCGTGTGTAAATGGCGTCTCGTGGCCGGTGAGTATAGTCACCCGCTGTGTTTAAATGGCGTCTCGTGATCGGTGACTATAGTCACCCGTTGTGTGTAAATGGTGTCTCGTGACCGGTGACTATAGTCATCCGTCGTGTGTAGATGGCGTCTCGTGGCCGGTGACTATAGTCATCCGTCGTTTGTAGATGGCGTCTCGTGACTATTTAACACGAGTGTCATAGGTTCGCCTGATCTAATGTGATCTAATATAATGACAAGCATAAACATAAGCTATTATTTTTCTCCTAGTTAGTATTATAAACACGTGAAGTTTCGAACTCGTTCTTTTTTGACACCCTGTATATTCTAGTGCAGCTTAAAGACCTCGCTGATGTTTGTGGGCGTGCGTGTGTTTAAAGTAAATGAAATATGGTATATGTAAATCGTAAGTAATGAGAATTTCTTTTTCTCCTTTTTCTATTTCCGGGGCAAGTATCTGAGGGTTATCAGGGATTTTGCAATTTCGAATTTCGTTAATGGCGTCGAATTAGTCTCGCTCCAGTTGAGCTGCGATCTCTAGGAGATTAAACGAGAAGTTTGACTGGGATCGGCTACTATGTTTTAATTTCATATACAGATCTGGCTCTGGACTTGGTTATGACGTAATTGATCGTTTATATGCGTTTAATTTGTTTTTCTAAATTGAAATTCGTGTCTGAATATCCGGTTAAAGCAGGAATCTCTACTATTCGAACAAACGAATTCTTTTATTGTATTTATTCTTCATTGCTTTGATTGTATTCTTTTAAATTAAATTTTAATTAAAAATTAAAATTAACTATTATTTCACAATAAAATGGAACGAATTTTTATATAGTAATAAAATATTTTAATAAATTATTTTCTATGCTTTGTGCAATTTTAGTTACTATTTATTGTCTCTGAAAGTTCTTTGGGAGGAAAATATTTTTACTAAATTTTTTAACTTTAATAAAGTGATTGTTATTATTAATTATTAGAATAGAAGGAAGGGAAACGAGTAATTACAATTTTGCTTTTATGTACTATCGATTTTTTTCTAGAACTTCTTTTTTTACCTACATCTCGGATCACTCGAATTATCTGTTAGCAAAGATATAAAATTTTGATTACGTGAATCACTATGTTGCATTATCGTTAATATTCCCAACCATAAAATATTCACTGATAATAGATTATTAATTCAATAGTGCAATTATCAGCAAACATTATTAATCCTGGTAATATTCTACTAATAATCACAGTAATATCCCGGTAATAATGCTAAATAATCCTAGTAATATCCTAATAATAATCCCAGTAACACATCATTATTAACAAACATTAAACCTAGTAATACCCTAGTAATAATTTTAATAACATTGGTGCAATCATTGCCAACAAACATTCTGAACACTAGTAATATTCTAGTAATAATTCTAGTAATATCCCAATAATAATCCCCATAATACCCTAGTAACATTAACAATTATAATACTCACACTGTAATACAATTATTAACAAACGTTACTTACCCTAGTAATATAATTCCAGTAATTTTCTAGTGATAATCCTAGTGACATTAATAATAATACCATAAAAATACATTTTGTTGACGAAATTAAAACATTGCGAGTTACTTCTGCACATTCAAAACCAAGATATGTCTGTTCCCAAAATAACAGTGACTCCAATGTCATTACTAATTACCTTTCTCTCGTTGTCAATCGCTTCCAGGAAGGCCACCGCTCGTCTTCCGGTGGCTATGCCGAGTCCCCGCCTGATCTTCGTGGTTGGACCGAGGAAGAACGTCGCAGACGAAGGAAGACCTTCACTCTGGAATTTCTGGGGGGCACGTCGGGCGTCGAACGCAGCTCAGAATTGTACGGGGACAACGTCGAGATCAGCCCGACTCCGAGCCATCGTCATCGGCCAAGAGGCAAGTCCACGAACGCCAGGAGCCCGCACAAGAACAACAGAAAACGCGAAACGGTGCAGCAACAGTCGGTGCAAGTGCAACAGCAACAGCAAGTCACTAGGAGCCCTCAGAAGGAAGACTGGCGCGTGGAACAGGCTGAAGATGGCGGCCATGTGCCAACTTCGGATGATTCCAGCTGCAGCCACCACTACCATCTGCACCATCACCATCATCATCACCTCCATCGCGAGGGCGCTGACGGCAGGCATAGGAGGACGAGGGAGAGTCCGAGGAGGAAGACCACTGGTTACGTATCTGCTAGGAGGAGGAGTAACGAGGTAAGTGGATGATACAGAGATCATAGTGAAGGGAACATAAAGGCATTTTTATGATTTATTATTTGTATTATTTTATGGTTTTAGGTTTACAAAGAGTTCTCTATTGTGTGATGGTAATATTCTTTTTCTTTTTTTAATTTATACTTGCATATGATATTTTTAAGTTTAGAATAGTAATATGAGAAATTATACAAATATTTTTCATGGAGCTTGGTTACTCACAGTTAATATATTAACCCTTTGCACTCGAAAGGTGAGCTTCAGTGACCATTTTATGAAATTTGGAAGATCAATATTAATTAATATATCAAGTTTAATGTAATTTAGCTGTATGCGAGGTATCGAAATCAAATAATTCTATAATTCTTTATTTACTGCTCAAAAAAGTATCATCAGCTTCTTAGTAGAGAATCCTTAAATTTCTACTCTTCTTTAGCCAAAAAATCGTCGAGTGCAAAGGGTTATCACATTGATTGCCATCTACGAGATATTTCGTAGGTTGTTTCCTTGCCTAGGACACCTACTTCGAGTTATCTCGTCCCTTCGTTATTTGTCATATTAATACAGCTACGAGGAAACCCGTAGTATAATTGTAGTATAATTCAAAAAGAAAAATTTGTACAAGTTTATTCATGCAGAATAATAATTTTATGGCTTGTGATGATTTTTAATAACATTTTTTTTTTTTTTTTTTTTTTTTTATCATTTTTTAAGCTTTTTGATTATTATTATGTACTATAAATAAAGTTTTTAATAATATAACATGATTAAATCAAATTGGCTTCTTGGACCGTGGCAGTCATCGTGTTAAAGTATCTTTTCGTTAATATTTTTCATCGATGAAACACAGTCTGTGAAAAATTTAATTTATAACTGTATTTTGTAATTTAATTTGTTTAATTTTTTAATCAAGTTACGCATCGCTTTCCAAAATTACGAATTTTTCTGAATTTATTCCTGGATTGCGATGGGTACAAAGTTAAAGTACATTCAAAAATAACACATTGTTAGGTAACATTCAAATTTATTTCAGGAGATCGTCGTATACACTAGAGCCACATATTTCATTCTTTTTAAAGAAACATCCAGAAATTACATTTTCCAAACGCATTAAACTCGGAACGAAAAATATGCTGTCAGGGAGTGCTGATTTGCATCCGGAAAATATTCGACCACGCCTGATGTGTATACGAATCTATATACCTTTCCAAATTCATATATGCATAGGAAAATTTTACTCATTTTCGTTCCATAAGAATGAACTCTATTTAAAACTATCTTCACAAACCGTATTCCCATAATCCTTAGTCTTCCATGATAAAAAATTTTTCTAAATATCCAAATAATTTTCCTCGATTAACTTCAAACCTACCACAAGCTTAAAATGGTACAACACGTGCAATACTGGTACAGAACTATGTCTATACGCTAATTTATACAACGAGATATGGGGCATGGTAGCCAAAAACCACATTGCTAAAATTGAGTCATTACAGTCTATAATTTTTAGAACATTAACCAATCCAACATGGTATGTTCGAAATGACGATATTCGGAAGGACCTCAAAGTTAAAACAGTTTCTGACAAAATCACTAGTCGTTGCGACAGCTATAAGGAAAGAATAGAGTGACCCCAGCGACCTAGCAAGAAAACGGTATAAAACTAGTCTGCCTCGCAGACTGCATAGGAAACACCCAAAGGATCTTATATCCTAACAGCATCAGGCTTCAACAGATGTTATCCATAGGGATATCTTCTACGCGTTCATTAACCTAACCCGATACAACAATTTACCGAATGTCGTTGCTGGACAAATTGTAAAAACTCTTAAAAAAAATGTATACACACACGTTACTTTCCAAGTTACCTAATGCATCGACCCCAGTTATCTAAATATGGAAGCACCATGTAACTGTAGGATTGAATTTTGGGTGGATTGACTTAAGATAGTATTGTTAGCTTCTTAATAGGATAAAATAAGCTTATAAATAGAATGACGGTGGCTAGCTATGAGACAAGAGAGATTCGCTATGGGCACGTTCTTCTGATCTTTCCTAAACTAACTTTTATAAACTGACTTTAGACTTTGACACACTGTTTTTGACTGTCTTAGACTGTACTGTTAGGCTGACTTGGACTTATTAATTACACATTCTGACTCGTCTGCACCCTTGCACCCTGTCCCATCGGGCGGTGTGCATCACCGGTGGATCACGTTTGAATATTCGATCAGACGCTGCGTACCATTAAAAATTTAGTTTGTTTAACCACTTGCGATGGCAAGAAATTCATAGACGCGTGTGCCAGAACGGTCCAGTGTTTCTGTAAGAATTGCCTAACGACGTGTATACCACGTCGTTGGTGATTCTGTGACAAAAGCATTACGACGTGCGTGACACGTCTTTCCAGCGCAAGTGGTTAATAATTGTGAAGAATTATCATATTGTTGAAAATGTAAATAATGGAAATTTGGTGTATGTAGGATCGGGGTGGGTGGATGGGCTGAAGTAATGTTGCTTTACTACCTCTTCAAATACAATAAACTTATACTTATATTATCGGCTACGAAACTAGAGACCCGCTACGGGTACGCTCGACTTTTACTTAGACACTATCTTGAGGACCGTGAAGGACTGGTGCTGCCCGCGCCCTTGCATCCTTATTTAAGCATTCACTCTGTCCTTTTCCATACCCAGGCTTTCCTTTGCAATCACACTTCTTTTCCACGCAACCTCGGTGGGCCCGGTACTTCAATCACTCTGCACGCGTCTCTAATCTTTCACTCTAACATAAACATTCATTGCAATCGATCCTCGCGCACATGGTCACTTTCATTCTAAGCCCAGACACACTTGACATTCTTCCAGGGCCGTACTTATTCCAATCCCACATGTATGTAGGATCTTATAATAAATATATAGAAGCTTATAAATAGACTGACGGCTATGAAAGAAGAGAAATTCGCTATAGACACGCTCTTCTCATCTTTCTTAGACTGACTTGGACTTCTTACATACTATGACTGACACACTGACACACTCATCAAGACTGCAAAAGGACTGGTTTAAAAAACTCTTAAAGACTGACTCGTCCCTATTTAAATCATTCATTCTGTCCTTTTTCATACCCAGGCTTTCCTTTCCAATCATGCCCTTTCCCACGTAATCTCGGTGGGCCAGGTACTGCAACCACTCTAGACGCATCCCTAAACATTCACTGAACTCTACCATAAATATTATTTGCAGTCAATCCTCTTGCACGTGGTCACTTTCGTTCTAAGCCCAAACACTCTTGACATTCTATTAGGGCTGTACTCATTCCAATCCTACATAACGATGCACGTAAAGAAGAATATACTCGATATCCATCGACACGTTCTTGGAATACCTCGGCGGGAAAGTCGAGTATCCGAAATTGGCATTTGCGAAGTTAGAACCATGGAAAGTGCAGACGGTCCTGAGAGTGACTGGAACAGTGTCGTTCCAGCGTTAATCGGGGCCGCCGTTTAATACGATAATTTACGAGCCCGTTACGGTTTCATTCGAGGCAACTATATAGTGCCGGATCGATGCAATAACTCTCTATCCTGTTTCCATTTAGGACAAGAACGCGGCCATAACAGGCAGCCTGCCCCGAAGAAGATCGCGAGCGGCGGACGACATAATGTGTTCGAGGCTGAGCCCGGGCCGTTATCAACGCAGTCCAGGGCACAACGGACAACGGGCAGTGATCGTGGAGTCACAGAGCCCAGAGGCGAGATTAAAGGCTCTTTCAGCGGAATCGTTGAGGTCCGTCAGTCCAGGGAGCGACAGCGTCTTCTACAGCGAGGGCGCGGACCAATGCTTGACCATCAGCGCCCTCGACGCCCCGCATTGTCACCATTGCGGCAGAGAGGTAAATTATTCACTGCTTATCAAGTTCCTCCTATGAAAGGAAGCAAGTTCGAAGGCATGGTACGATAGGGGCGATGGGAAATTTCTAGGAAAAATTTCTAGCAAATTTCTTTCAAACAGGGTTTTTCCTTTTTTCCTTTTTTTTTATTTTTTGGGGATGGGAGTTGGATGGGTGGAAGTCTCTGAATAGCGTAGTGAATTGCGTAGTTCGTTGCTGCTTCAGTCTCGGATTTCTTCCTTTCTTCCTGCTGTTTCTGGTGACTGGCTTGTGCAGGCTGATTCTGATAAGTGATAATTTGAGGATAAGAAGCGAAGCTATTATTTAATATATACTGTTAAAATGTATTCCTCATTCATTAATGCTTCATTGAGTATTGAAGAAATTAATGAATAGTGATCTTGTATGCTTTACAAAATTAATTTTTCTTTCTTCTTGTTGAGATTTTTTCGTTTGTGTATTTCTCATTCATTAATGCTTCATTGAATATTTAAGTAATGAATGAATGGTGACCTTGAATGCTTTACAAAATTAATTTTTTTATTTTCTCATTAGAAGTTTTTTGTTTCTATATATATTTTTGTATGTATGTATATATATATTAGTTTGTATATGAAGGATTATATGGTATCATATAAAGTATGTACACCTTGTATGTATTTACTGAAACGTCAGAGAATGATATACTGATGTACTGATCCAACAAGACTAGCATTATTTATATTATTTATACAATAATCAGAATCAGCCCAACAGCCTTAACCTATTAATTAGCTCATTTCTTAATCAAAATCTCCCCCAGTCACGCGATTAAAAGTATATAAACGAAGAATCATCAGTATTCGTGTCAATTTTAATTATAGCAAAATAGAATATTGTCTATTTTTAATACAGATATTATAATTATAATGCACTGAATGTCAAAGAATTTCTAAGAAAGTATAGTAATATTGTTACTCACGTGACAAAGTGGCTGGATCTACTTAGTGACTCATAAGTTAAATACCCACATTATATCTCTTAACACTAGACCTACCAAACTAATTAGTTTAGAATAATTAACTTCGAATATTGCCTTTTATATTCACTGAAAATATATTCCTACCTAACTATTGTATTTTCGAAGAAATTAATATCAACTATTATTGACACTTTAATGATTATCATCAACGTATAACATAATTAAATATTTAACCCTTTGCACTCGAGAGACACCCTTCAGTCACCATTTGATAAAATTTCGAAGCTCGATATTAATTAATACGTCAAATTTAAAATAATGTAACAGATAACGTGCGAGGTATCGAAATTAAATAATTCTACGTATTAATTATTATACTATTTCTTATTCACTGCTCAAAAAATATCATCAGCTTAATAGCACAAAATTTTTCAACTCGTACCTGTCTTTAGTCAAAAAAATCGTCGAGTTCAAAGGGTTAATAGCTCTGGTGTTAAACTTAACAAGCACCAAATCCAAAAAATCCCAAAATTCAAAAAATAAATCAAAATGATCAACTGTCATCTTCATTCATTATCAGCATGAAAGATCCCAGTCATACAGAGGATTTAACAGATCAGAAAATCAAACCTGACTCGATGAGCTAACTAAGATCCAACACAAACATAACCACCAGCAATCCATTTCGACAAATATCTCCGATTTCGAATCGATCTGTCTCTCTATCTGTCGGTCTATCTACCTCTTTTCTCTATCGTGCGTGCCGTCGTGTTGCTCCACCCCGAGGTCTCGGAAGAGATCGTTCGACCACCGGCAGGTTTCGCGGACTCCCCGGAAGGACACAGGTCCTCCACGAAGCACGTGCCTGGCCACAGGCTGTACAAGAAGTTCGACAAGAGGTACAGGTCTGAGGATCGGGGCGATAGGAGGCATCGGCGAAGCAGTGCTGGTAGATCGGACGTCCGCGCGAAATCCGAGGAAAGGGTGGCTTCCAGACGCGGAAGCCGAGGATCCATCGACGACACCGCCGCTGGCAGGAAGAGGCTTCACGCGAGGAGCACAGATGTTAGCTTGGAAATCCTTACGGGTTAGTGCATGTATATTATATGACATTATACGTATGTTTTGAGAAATACGAAATAGGATTGAAAAAATATATAAATTATAATTGAGTCGCTCATTTGAAAGATCGATTAACTTCAGAATACAAAAAGTAAGGAAGATGGGCATCGATCAAATATTTTGGGACAGGAATTTTTTTTAATTTAAATAGCGAAGAAATTTTGAGGAGTTAGTATTTACAAGTTTGTTATACTGGGTGTTTTAAGAAATACAAAATATGCCTATTATAATTGAATCCTTTATTTAGAAGATCGATGAACTGTACGAAACAAAAATACAAAATGTAGGCATCGAGCAAATATTTTGGGATAGAATTTTTTTAAATGAAAATAACGAAGAAATTCTAACAGGTTAGTGCACGTATATTATACTGTGGGTTTTGAGAAATACGAAATAGATTTGCAAAAATATATAAAGTAGCATTGAGTCGCTCATTTGGAAGATCGATTAACTTCACAATACAAAATGTAGTCATCGATCAAATATTTTGGGATTGAATTTTTTTTAATAAAAATAGCGAAGAAATTCTAGAAATTCTACACTGTATGTTTTCTAAGATACAAAATGTACGTGTTATAATTCAGTCATTCGTTTGGAAAATCAATTAACTCCACAAAATAAGAAATAGAGAAGGTATTCATCGATCAAATACTTTGGGACTGAATTTTTTTAAATTTAAATAGCGAAATTGATCACTTTCTCCTGTGAATGGCTTAGATATATATTTAATGATGGAAATATTATTTACGTAAAAATTATTTATGTAGAATTTGAAGGATATGGAATCTAGATCATAAAAGTAGTTATATTATTATTATTTCGAATAAGTATGTTATAGCGAATTCTTCGATATGTATTATATGAGATACGAGTCTGAGAACACAGTTACGATATTAATAATTATTCTGATTTAAACCCCGTAACAAATTTTATTTTTATTTTTGATATTTATAAAATACAAAGCGCGTGTTTAAAATTCTCAGTGTCGATGTAATATTATCGAGGTTTTATTTTCGAAAAAGTCTGATTCCAATATTCGTTGTAATAATATTTTATTTATGGGTTTATATTAACTAGGTTATTCAAAAGGTATCATGAACTTTCTGCAACCTTTAATAATTAAATATCATAGTGTCGGTTACCGAATCTAGTTCACAGAGAAAGGTCCATGTACCCTAGCAACGTCAGTTTTAATAAAAATTTGCTAAATATAGCAATTCGATATTCCATATAATAATTCGCTAAAATTTTTTACTCTATGCTTTTGATTTACTTTATCACGAAATATTGCTTGATTTTTTACAGTATCGTGAGTTTTAACACCCTTCTGAACATACCTGTTTGCTTTTTCTAAAAATCGTGAAATATTAGTGGTCCGAGAAGTAAAAATGGGTGGTTTCTGAGAAATCTCTCGAGGCAGTTGGATCTAGGATTATATATAGGGACATTAGGAGTTTGGGATTAGGATTTCGGCAATATATCGTGCTATGAGAATAATGGGACTGGAATCGAAGGTGTGACAACGGCTTAAGGCCTAGTACCCTCGAGAAAAGATTTTACGACTCGTCTTTAGTGTCTCTTTTAGTAACAGTATTGCGAGTTATGTTTCTTCTATTTCTAGATAATCTAGCTGGCCAATTTCTAATAATTCGTTACTAAATTTTGTGATAAAATTATTCTGAAAATATTTTAGAGATTGAATATTATTCAAAAATAAATTGAGATTAGTGTTAGCTTCAGAAGAATTAAACAAATACTTTTGCTAGATTAACAAAATTGAATAATATCTGATGAATATAATAAATTATAGTGAGCTTGTTACATTGAGAATAAATATCCTTGAATTTTGTCATAATATGATATTTTAATTCTAAATTAGAGAGATATCGAATTAACTGCAGCAACAATTTTTAGTATAATTCTTATGAAACTTTTGATGAAATTATTAAACAAATTGTATACTTTAAAATTTGTGTACAAAGATACTAATATGCCTTTGAAGTTTACATATTAAATTTTACTATTTTTATTTCTTCTTTATCGATTCACCATAAAATATAATGAATCTGATATCATAATTTAATAATAATAGAGCATAAATTATGATCTGAGTTATAAATTGTTTAATAATTGAATAGTACATATAATATAATAATGATACCCCATAATACCTCCTAATACTTTCAATTATAATAATGGCACTTTAAAATATCTCATAATATCTTATGGAATATAATATAATAGTAGCTAATAATGACTTAAAATATCGTATAATACCTTCTAACATAGACTATAATAATACAATATTTTTTCGCATTAAAGCACACAAAAATGAATTACACTGTTCTTCCGATTAAAATTATATTTAACATATTTTAGTACATAGAAAATTTCTATATATCTTAAAATTTTGGTACAACTTTATTGCAAATAAAATTCATATGCAATAGTTAACTAAACTCAAATTCTTTATTACCAAGATCGCTCATAGTCATCATTGATGCATTTTTGAAGATTGAGGAATGAAAGTCAGAATAATAAATTATAACATTTTATCTATATTACACATCCATTTTATTTCATGATATATTTTTCATAAATTATGCCCCAAAAGAGCTTACATAGTCACTTCATCCATTCATCACGAGTGAAAATTCGTCTCATGAAACCAAATTTTTTTCTTCACCCATTTCCATACAAAAATCGTATTTTCTTAACCTATATCCTCCGATACATCGTAAAGATGGTGTTAAAAAGGAATTCTGGCGCGCAAACTTTATTAACCGCTTTCATATCTACCAAGGAACGTTACCCGGATAAATGACCGGGCGAAGTAGCGTTAAACGGGAATAATAAAGGTAGACAGGCATCGCCCTTGTAAAAAAGTTACGTAATGAAACGCTATTTAAAAAAAAAAAAAAATGAGAAAAAGAAAAAATTAGTGAACACAGCGGCGTTCATTAATTGAAAAAGTTCGCCCCGGTTCTCCTGTGCCATTTATCTTCTTCCAAGGCGATTAGCTGTTCCGCTGTTTGTTAAGATCCAATAAATTTCAACTGGAAACAAAGAAACAAATCGTTGTTAATTTCCTTAATAGCCTTGTTTCATTTGCGTAGTTTTATTATTGCATACTGCGAGATTGAGAGTCTCTACGGATTAAAAAGCGAATTATAAAGTTACGAAGGATAATTGCGTACGGTTATTAAATTTGAAACGATTATGACAAATTTGCAGATATTTTTGACGTAGTATAATTGCAGAGTATAACAAAGATGAAAAATATATTGGATTTACCAAAAGTTATGTATATAGAAATTAATGAAATTAGAATGCTGATAATTTAATTGTGGAATTATTATTAAAAATGAAGAGGTTGATTATGACAAATTTTCAGATATTTTTGACATAGTATAATTGCAGAGTACAATGAAGATAAAAAATATATTGGATTTATTAAAGGCTATATATATAAAAATTAATGAAATTAAAATGTTGATAATTTAATTGTGGAATTATTGTTAAAAATAGAGAGATTGATTATGACAAATTTGAAAACATTATTAAGGTAGTATAATTGCGAGATATAATGAAGATGAAAAATATATTGGATTTACTAAACGATAAATATACATGAGTTATTGAAATTAGAATGTTGACAATTTAATTGTGAAAATATAATTAAAAATGCAGAGGTTTGACAGGAATTTGATGACATTATTAAAATAGTATAATTGCGAAGTATAATGAAGATGAAAAATATATTGGATTTATTGAAGGCTATATATATGTATATAGAAATTAATAAAATGGGAATGTTGATAGTTTAATTGTGGAATTAAAATTAAAAATGGAGAGGTTGATTATGACAAATTTGCAGATATTTTTGACGTAGTATAATTGCAGAGTATAATGGAAATAAAAAATATATTTGATTTACTAAACGATATATATGTAGGAATTATTGAAATTAGAATGCTGTCAATTAAATTGTGAAATTGTAATTAAAAATGGCGAGGTTTGACAGGAATAGTATGGTTTTGGTGATTAAGTAATATGAGCATATTTGTTTCCAAAATAGTGTAAAGCAGATGATTTCATAGAATATTGGAATTTTGTGGAAAATATTAAATGAAATTATAATCACAACTTTATTGAAAACTTTGTATTCAGTTTGAAAATATTTTGGGGCAAGTATCGTTCATTTTATGTATTTTTGTATTAGAATTTGGCGTTTTAGAAATTTAATATTCCATCGAATAAATATTCCGAAAATTTTCCTTCAGAAATTCGATATTTCCATAATTTAGTACCCTGAAAATTTGATATTCCGAAGATTCTATTTGGAAAATTTAATATTCCGAAAATTCCATATCTCGAAAATTTAATATTCCGAAAAATCGATGTCTCGAAAATTTAATACACGGAAAATTCGATATGAGGAAAATCGAATATCTCAAAAGTTCCATATTTCGAAAATTGAATATCACGGAAATTCCATATTTCAAAGATTCCATGTTTCAAAGATTCAATACCTAGATACGATATTTCAGAAATTCAGTCTCTCGAAAATTCAATATCTCGAATTTACAATTTTATGATGTACATATATGCACATAAATTAAAAATCAAATACAATAAAACTATTTATAAACTAAGAGTTAGGTGTCTTGTAACAGCAGAAATATGAGATATAAATTTAGCTAAATGGAGAATATAAATGACCAAAACTTGGTTCTTTATATAAAAGACAACATTATCATTCGAGATTTATTTCGTCTCTGCATTACCGACTAAGTCGTTCCTCGTGCATCCGATCTCAGGTCGAGAGGACGAGGACACGTACGTGGAGCCGTACACCAGCAGCGAATGGATCTACATCGGTGACCTCGAGGAAAGCCACGTGTGGAAGAGGCCAGACAGCAGGGAAGACGACGACGAAATTCCAGAAAGCGTGGCCAAAGAGAGGAGGAGCTCTCAGGAATCGACGGAGAGCGAGAGAAACTTTAGGAAAAAGTATCAGGCGACAACGCAGAGGATAGTGCACCGGAAGATCAGCGGGGAGATGTACAAAAGGATACAGACCAAGAGTTTCGGTGAGTTACTGGACTACATTTTCCTATTATTCCGTTTCCGGAATTACTGCCTAGTTCTTTTAACACTGCATGTACCAGACTGGTGAGAAAGTTTCACGTTAGTTTCACGTACCTGTTTTATTTTATTTTGGTAAAATTACTGTTAACTTTTGTGTAGATGGGATTGCAATTACGTATATTTTATTTATCTTCGTTGTAGAAATTAATTATTGTTCATATATTTAGTTACATTTCGTGAGTGGGTAATTCTAGGGATATTTATAGTGGGATATAGGGTAAATTCATATTGGTTTCGTATATTTTATTTTTACAATTTATGGCGGGAAAAATGTGATTTTAGTAGAGTTAATGTTGAGTTTTGTTTAGATGGGATTGTAATTATATATGCTTATTTATCTTCATTATAGTAGTTAATTGTTATATCAGTTAACTATATATAGATGTATGTATTTAGTAATAAATTAGACATTGGTAGTTCTAATGTTAAAACTAGTGTTGAAAATAGAATATAGCTAACAATAACTTGGATTTTCTATTATAGATGAGTAGTATCCTAGTAACATTTCAATCACGACCTAGTAATGTCATAGAAATCCCCTAGTAACCTTTTAATGACATCGTAGCAAGAACATTATCCCCCTGCAATTTCTTTTGAATGTGGAGAAAGAATTTTTAATTGATCGTCCTTTTCATTATCTATGAAATAGAGAATAATTAATATAAGTGTAATTAGTATAATAAATAAAATAAATGGAGATAAAAATATGTAGGTAAGTACTTGGGATATACAACTTACAAATTGCATGCTATTATTAATGATTAACATTGGTGTTTGTTATTTTATTCGAGCTTCTGAAAAATTATATATATATGATTTTAATCATGTTACTGAAAAATAAATATTATTAGCATATAATACTATTAATAAAATCAACTTTAGAATAAAGTATTTACATAAAATTAGTATAAAATGATAATTTAAGTAACTTAATTAATAGTTGACATCTAATATTCTTAATATTATTATTTAATAATAATTCAATAACTTTCGAAAACCTAACCTAACTAGCATAAAACACTATTAATAAAAACAACTTTACAACAAATTATTTGCATAAAATTAGTATAAAATGATAATTTAAGTAACATAATTAATCGCTAACATCTAATATTCTTAGTATTATTATTTAATAATAATTCAGTAACTTTCGAATTTCCTCATAAAATCATTTTTAAAATCGTATGAACACTTGAATCAATAAATATTTTTCCCGTAAAATTTGGAAAAATAAATATTTTAAAATCGCATGAAGCGTTGTAACGCGAAATATTTGTGAAATTAATATTTTCAAAACTCAGAACATTGCGTAACATTAATAACACCGCCAACAATAGCGTGCTTCGGTAATGAATTACCACTTCCCAAAAATGCATTAAAAAATGCAACGTTGAATTGCTGAAAATTCGCAGCTAGTGGATCCATTCTGCTCGAAATAATTCGAAATGTTCTCCATTTCGTGAAATTAAAACCCGAATTACTTTCATCGTCGAACATTTACCACGTTACAACTAACAGTATTACATAACATAGTTATCCCTGTCGCTTAATTTCCTTAAATAAATTTTATTAATACAGATAATCGATCTCGAATTGAATGTCCCCGACTTACATGACCGTTCTCCAAAAGCTGGTGAGCAAATTTGAACGTAAAGGTTATCCTTCTATATATATACACCTATAGGAATATTTAAAATGAAGGCTGTAATCGATCGATTTATAATCAGCCTCGAACGTTGTATATGTATATGCTTGTTTATAACTATGCAATTTTAGTAACATAATTTTAGCGATATAGAGTGACAATGACAGATTTCAAGCTTCAGGTTCGATCGTTGTTTAGTATTTGAAATGTTGATGGGAAAGTTCTGTTGCTAGGTTCCACTTGTACATTCGCAACTTTACCTGGGGATTTCCGGGATTTCCATGAATTCTGGGTAGAATAGGTTGAAACGTATACACATGTAGATTTATTTATCCGGTACAATAAGGATTATTGGTTTCAATATGGTGAAAATAGAAAATAGTTATTTGGTAATAGAAAGTACAAAAATATATTCCAATATATCATGTTATTTATTATTAGTGATTTAAATATATTAATAACAATGTACATATTTATAATATAAGTACAAACTTATATTTTTTAATACAATTCTTTCGTAGTACAATTATATATTAGTACAAAAATATATTTTTTAATACAAAAATATATTTAAATACGATATTCGGTATAATTAATATATTATTTATTATTAATATGATTTTGTCTAAATTATATAGTTATAGTAGTATGAATAATTAGCAATATATTGGTTTTGACTATAAATTTATGTAAATTATATACTTGTTTATATTATTATTAATATATATTTATAAAAATGTAAACAATTATAAATATATCATTTTATACAGGAATATATTTAAATGTATTTCTTAAATGAGATTATAATAAATTTATATTCATCAGTTACAGGGTATTTACAAGATGGTGTTTCGATTGAATAAAGAATGATTTTTCTCATTTTTGTAAAAGCGAGTGGAAAAGTATACGTAAAACAAATTTTTTCCATATGAGAATTCATTTTTAGAGAACAATGCTTCAGTAACAAAAATGAAAACGGAAAGTACTGCAACGAGGGAGTAAATAAATTTCCATATAGATAAAAGGGAGTATCAGATAAGAATTTATATTGTATAAAATTTCAATTCGAACTATCGATTTTTTCCCTTCCATAAAAGAAGAAGGAAATTGAAAAAAGAAAAGCAAAACAAAGGAATACAATATTATTAATCCTAGCATTAAAAATAAAAAGAAATCCTAACTTTTCTCCCTCCATGAGAAATATTTAACTCTTTCCTTCCCACCGAAAATATTTTCTCACAAAATACAACAAAACTTTCCATACAAAAAGTGTTTAATTTAGTGCTTTAACGAAAAATACTCCATAGTGAGGAGAAAATTCTACAGAAAACTGCAAACAGTGAAGGAAAAAATTCTGAAACTTTGGAGATCCATTTGGCTCCCACACAAAGATTTGCCGACCATAAATTTTCGTTAAAATCGAAACTTCTTGGTTAGCTGAATTTCCTTATAATGTACTATGCCAATACATTTTCTTCACTCACTGTATATGTACGATATAATTTTCCGGAATATTTCCACAGAAATTAAAAGCACATACGCACCGAAATAATGAAGCTTCGAAATTAATTTCTGGTGTAGGAATTATCAAACAAATAATCAGTTCGTTCACTGCATAATTATTGCCGAATTAATTAATTCGTCAGGCAATTCGGATATATATTAAAATAAATTTCAAAAAAGGAGGAAACTTTATTTATTCACTGACAACCGGTTCATACTATTTATAATTCACATAATACAATATAACCCAGTATATCGACTCTAAATGAGTTGTAGCTATTAATTATTATCCACAATACAGTAATATAACGGGTGACCAAAACTCATGCAAGAAGAAATTTTAATAGAAAACATAGGTTTTTAATTCAAAATAATAAATATTGTTTAACAATAAAGATGCGGTGTTCTTTCGTATAATATTCCATTTTTAATAACCCTGAACCCTGAACTGTCAACTGTCACGCTGTCTTTTTCTCTCGTTGGCAACACTTTACTGCACAAATGGCGCAAAATTCAAATCTTGCGTGATTTTTGGGACACCCTATAATAGTCTGTCAATATTTTTCCTACTATTTATCAAATGTCTCCAATTAACCCTAAACCTGTCATAATCACTCCAATAACCATTAAATGAATAAACGAAAGAAGAATAACATTTAAAAAAATGAACTGAAAGGAAAAATTAGAAAATTAATTATACCTATATCAGAAGAATAATCGCAAAGACAAATGAACGAAGTGACAGTGTCGAATGCAGAATTTTTTATTAAAATTTACAACTGACCATTTAAGCTCTGATTAATTTAGTGTTAATTCGGATAATCAATGTTCTACTATATTAAAAAATATGGAAAATATTCACCATACGAATCTGGTGGGAGTAAAGGGGTTAATTAGATCTTGAGAAGCATTCTGTAAGAAGAGGATCGATCTTGACAACGATTTGTAACCACTTGTCGATGCAAACTAGTTGTTGTGGAAAATTAGCGAAGCTACTTATGAATGATGGGCCATGTTTCGATAATCAGGAGGAAACAGCATCGAAAGGCTCGTTTAAAATAAATCTGATGCTGCCTAAGTGGTACGTCGATCACAGCGGAAACAAGGATCACCGTTTTAAATACATCTCCACTTTATGCTCTATATTTAACAGTGACGTTCGGGATCGGAATCGAGAGTAGTTTACACAAAACTGATTGCTCTTTACTTGCAACTCAGCTCGTTTCTCGATGACAGTTAACTGGATGGCCGTTACAATTTGGCAAATAAACATTCGTCGCTGCTTATTATTGTCAAATCTGTTATCCGTTTATCAATCATGGACGAAGAAAATGGAGAAGCAGCAGAATTATTTTTAATTAATTTGGTGTGTGTTGATACTTTTACAATTGAAAGGATAATTGAGGACTGATGGTGCTAATTGTGAGTGTTGATTTTATATGTGTAAATGGGAATGAGGTAGAATAAGTGAAAGTCATTTAGGATGATATAAATATAACATGTACGAGTGAAGTCTAGTATGAATGTTGTTAAAGAAATGTTTAGAAGAATGTGCCAGAATAAAACAGTTACGTGAGAATTGTCATAGAGTAAACATGTGTTAATAAGAGTGAGAGAGAGAGAAGAATTTTCAAAATAGAGTCAATCTTTGTGTTTAAAATAGTTTATTTAGAATTGTTGTAAATATTTAAATATTATTATATAAATATATTAATTTGTTAACTGTTGAAAAACGTGGAAGATATTGGTATTCATTTCTATCCACACTAATGATATTAAATGTTGTTAAATTAATGTCGAAAATTTATATAAATTTTATTAAGGCAAATGATAGAGGGAAATTTTTAATTTTGGCCTTTATAGTTTCTAATTTCTTAGTCAAAGTTCTGGGATGACCAAGGTAACCCATGTTTCAGTTACAAAGGGATTTGAAGAATTTGTGAAATTAATTTTTGACAAATATATTATATCAAATTAGTCTTTTTAATATCTTGTGTCAGATTATTACAGGATAAATGGAGAAGTTTGGAAAAATAATTTAAAACATACTGATAACTATGATCTTAAATGAGGATTAAGTACTTACTAAATGTTAGGATACAAGGGGAGATTAATTTATTTCATTAGAAAAAAATATAAATAAATTTGTCAATTATTTATTGTCAGTGAAAAGAATAATATGTCACAGGTTATAAATTACCAATACTAAGAAAAATTCTCTCTTCTTCACAATGACAAATTTAACAATGAAACAAGTATAATTTTCTAAATTACAGATCAGCAATTCAATATCATCATGATACAGTAAATTACTATCAATATACTATCAATTCTTCCAATAAA